GCGACCTCCAGGGACACCTCAATTGCAAGATTTGATGACGATTTGCAAAACCCCCAATTTTGGACCCAATTTCAAATTTTAGGGTTTTTCGAGTAGAAAAATTCAGATTCGAGAAGTTACAGGCCAAATTAGACAAAATGGTTTGGATATTATTGATCCTCGTCTCAAGACGAAGAGAATGACATTGGTTCCGCCGGAATCGGAAAATGTTCATTTTCCGGCGACTTTGACCGGCGGGCGGCGGCGGCGGGGCCTAGAAGAAAAGAAAAGAAGAAATGGGGTCAAATTGAAAATTTTAAAATATATAAAATTTGAATTTGGCCCTAATGACCGAAAGTTAACCTAGAAACGGGCTAATGGCTCATTAGTGAAAGGATTGTGTAAGTTCAGGGATTTTTGTGAAAGGATTTGAAGTTGAGGTACCACTTCGAAATTCCAGCTAAAGTTCAGGTACCATTACTGAAATTTACCCGAACTTAGAAGATGAAAACATTAATTTTATTAACAGAGTCCCTTATTTTTAGAACATGAAGGAGTCATACAGAATTTTAAATAACTATCTGAACGGAAACTCGACCCAAATCCGACCACAAAGAAATTTAAGATCTTGAACATGACCTTTTAAACCTGTATCGCTAATGACTCAAAACCGTTTCACCAAGAATATTTAGGTCAAACCCGGCCTGTTAGGTGAACCTCAAATGTATAGTTTCTCAGTATATTTGAAATAAATTACTCCTCTCCCACTATTTTTGAGACATAAAGGAAGGTTTTAAAAAAGAATAAAATGTGTTGCTTGAAATTGATGCTAAAAGTACGAAGTAAACATGAATCTAAATCGCACAAATATTGACAATTATACCGTCCCAAATTTGATTACAAATTGGAATTTACAAGTTTAAAACCCGTATCTTTTAAAATTATTTTATTTACAAATTGTTGCATCAATAAAAAAATTAAATATTAAAAAACTACGGTCATATTCTCCTCAACTTATTATTTTACTTATTATTTTACTTATTATTTATTCTTATTGGAATCAGATCACGCCAGAAATAGCTCTAAATATAACAATATTTAGATTAGATCAGATCAAATTTTATTCTAATCAGATCAGGTGAAGAGAACATGACCTACGTCAAAAGTTTTACAAAAAAGAGGTGACAACAATATTTTATTTTATAAAATAACCAATGAAAACACATAAATAATTAAACGAAAGTTATCGAGAGATGGAAAAAAAAAGATTATAATCAAGGTTACGTTGGGAGAGAGAGTAGCATTTTTTTTTTATAATCATTACATGCATCTTTGATTAAAAATTACGGAGTACTAAATAATTAGAGAAATGCTAAGGGTACACCAAAAGTGTACTCCAAATGTACATCACCGCCTTCTACATTACCCATTTTCATTTGATTTTTATTAATTTACTTTTTTTTGAATTTCTTGCCAATTTATGTGGACAAGGAAGGGGTGGGGGACATATGGGGTACAATTTAGTGTACCCCTAACATTTTTCAAATAATTAACTTGATATCTCCATTCCCATCATAAGAGAAACTATTTGTTTGATTTAACTGAGTTCTAGAAAATAACAAAAACATGAAAAATGCGTAGTTGAAATCAGTTTGGAATTCAAGAGAGGAAAATTACGAGTCACAATATTGTCACAAATAAGACTAATATTAAGTTTGGCTTAAGGTATTTGGAAGGAAATAAGGAAGGAAAAATACTAAAATAGGAGTAAAACGTAAAAAATATATCGAGATAAAAGTTTCATTCTTTTATTTCTAAAAAAAAGTTAAAATGTATATACAATATCAATCATATCAATATATAATATAAAAAACATTGTGAATATCCATATATAGTGTCACATTATTATTAGAAATCACCTTAAATAGTACTAAAACATAGAGAACAATATCAAAATAGGACTTTCATATTTTTTTCCAAAATAGGACTCCACATTGTGGTAATGTGGTTGTATGTGGCACTGTACATGTACACATTACTATACTTTTTGGTAATGTACATGACCATGTTTGATAATGTAACTACATTTTAAATCCTATTTCAGAAATAAAAACATGAAAGTCCTATTTTGATATATCTGTAATGTTTTGGTCCTACTTTAGCCTTTTTCCCCATTATTATCATATTGGAAACTCTTATTTTGTGGAAAAATATAGAATTCCTATTTTGATATTTTCTATGTTTTACTCTTATTTTGAGTACTTTCTTTAAAGAAAAATGTTTTCTATCAATTTTTCCTCAACAAAAAGAAAATAATTTTGATTTTCCTCCTCTTAGGCTTTGTTCTGTATGTCTGATCTGATTGAATCTTATCTAAATTTTTGAAGTTTATCTGATTAGATCTGATCTGATTTAATTTTATTTGATCTAATTGGATTTGATCTAATCTAATTGAGTCTGATCTGGTCTGATTGAATCTAATCTGATTAGATCTGATTTTTTCTCATTAGATCCGATGTAAAGGAATTTAAATTTGATTTAAATTAAACTTAAAATTATTACAAAATTTATTAGTTTTAAAGTATTACAATTCATATATACATAAAAAAAGTAAAATAAGAAAATCAGCTAATCATTGATATATTTAATTTTTTTTGAAATATGAAACATCTTTTCAATATCACTACTTTTTAAATCCTTGTGAAAACTAAATAATTGGTATTAAAATAACAAAATATTAGAAAATATGGATTCTATTCTACAAAAATATCATATTCTATATGCATATTACATAATACTCCGTAATACATTTCATGTTACAAATTAAAGATCATTAAAACCTGAAACACTAACATTCCTTTCACCTCTATCCATTTTAGCATAAACTCATCCTTGTGTATATTATACCATCTTAAAGTTTAAAAACAAGTCTTTTTAAGTATAAAATATTATGGTTTTGAAAACTTAATTTTGTGTAATTATTTTATAAACGAGTATTTTAAAACAACTCTTTTTAAAGTAAGAAAAATACAAAAATTTAGTACATTTTATCTTCACATTTTCTATTCATTTCGTTTTCTTTTTTCTCCAACCAAACAAACAAAATTATATCCCCTCACATTTTCTTTTATTTTCCCTTTAAAATTCATTGAACAAAACATGGTATGAAACTTAATGGTTTTCCTTAATTAGGACTCTTTTCGTCCGGATTTAATATTCTTAATTAATTGGCTTTTTTAGTCAAAATTTTTAAACTTTGACCTCGAGATGCAGAAAAAATATATTATATTTTGATATAAATATGATATTCATAGTTTCCTTATGAAAAATGGTTTTGAATTATTAGCTTTTTTATAAAATACTGGATATCCTTTTTAAAATATAAATATTAGCTATATAGAAATCAAAATGTTATATTAGAGATTGTGAAAAGTCAAATTAAAACGAAGGGAGGAGGGAGTACTTGTCTTCTTTTTCATGTAAATAGTACTCCCTCCAACCCAAAAAGAATGTTACGGTTACTACGACCTCTCAATAACTTTTTTTGTTTACTCATTTTGGTTGACCATTTGATAAAATAAAATATTCTTGTTGCATCTTGTTTTGTATAACTTTTGATGTTATGGTTACTACGACCTCTCAATAACTTTTTTGTTTACTCATTTTGGTTGACCATTAGATAAAA